TTACTAATTATTCAGTGCAGTTGTGAAACAACCACAACAACGGTGCTCGAACCGGTACAATTTCAAAAGAAGAATGAACCTCGTTTCTTTATTCCTTCTGTTCTTCCACCGACAACATGCTCGATTCGACTGACTGTTGCCTTCTGAGTCATCGTCATCATCATCACTGTCATCACAGTCACCACCACTCAGGCGCTGCCGCCATCGACTGCTATGGGCGTTGCCTTTAATGGGTTTGTAAGGCAACCAAAATTTCGAGGATATAAGGTCATTTGGAAGTACTGTCGTGACGGTTTAGTTCACAGGACGCCCGACAGTCGTCCCTTTTACCACCAGGCTAACTTGGCGGATTCAGGTCGTTGGTCAACTGCGGTTATAAAAATTGATTCCTATTTATTCATTTTTAGCTGCACTTTCAGCCTCGGAAAACATGGCGGTTTATTGTTTGAGTGCCATTAACGCATGAACGTTATCATTTGACAGTGCCGAAGAGCGAAGATCATTGTATGGTAACCGATTATCGCTCGGTATTCATTGTTTCCTTGGGAGCAGGAGGTTGTCAATTATTTCATTTAGTGATGACAACGGTAATATGGATTGGAATGACAATGACGGTAACTTGAAATTGGTCTATAAGGAACTTTTTCCATATTGCTTATTCTACTTTTACATGAACTCATTGTTTTTATTTTCTAGTTCTTCTTTTGTTCTTGCTTTTAATTCTTCATATTTTTTTCTCTGTTTCTTTCTTTACTTTTTTTAGTGGAAAGTAAGAAAGGCAACAGAAGAGACGAGAAGGTAATTAGAGTTCTGCAATGTGATGAACTTTATAAAAAGTTGTTTTACTGTTTGAAATTATAATAGAGAGAAAAACCAAAGCAATTTTCTATTTGCCGTCAAGAAAAAAGAAGAAAGAAAGAGAAGTAATCTATTGACTAAAGACTTAGGAAGAACTTTTTTATTTTAAATAAACAACAAATATCTGTTTCCAGACAAAAATTTCATTTTTTTTTGCTGCTTTTGCAAGACTTCTTGGCAGCAAATTGTAATTAAAGTAAACGAGATTCTGTTTAGTTTTAGTACAGATTGACATTAATCAAAGTCCTGTCAGTAGGTGTTTGCTTGTTTTTTTTTTTCCTGTTTTAGTGATAAGTAAACTTCAGTAGTGATAACACCGGTGCAAAAACCATTGCAAAAGTAGTTGCTGAATAAATTTTTTGTAAGCCAATCTATCGACAGTGTTTCTTTTTTGAAAGTTTATTAAAGTGGTATTTTCTTGGATTCTGTTTGTATTGCTGAAGTATCGTGCTTTGGTGTTGCAACAGATACCGAGGTCTGATAAAGTGCTGAAACTGCTCTGTCAGTTTGTTGAAAAAAGAAAAAACCAAAACCAAAAAGTTAAGACTAGGAAGCCGCTGTTATTTCGTCGTTTTTTGCTTAGGAGGTGTTCATTTGTATCGATGTGGTTATGTTTATTTTTGTACATAGTTATGTATATATCAATGTGCGTCATAATGTTGTTGGTGTTTCGAGTAGCATTGACATTACTTCCAAAAAATATTTCTTAACAAATTTGTGTCTTGATTAGTGGGGGGTTTTTTTTTTGGAAAGCGGGGTGGGGGGGAAGGGGAGGGGGAGGGAAGAAGGGAAAGGATACAGCCAAACAATAAATGTCCTCCGGTTTCTCATCCATTGGCTGTTAATGTTTGTGCCGGTGATCTGAAGTATTATTATAGCTGTTGGCTAAGTTGCACTTTTCTGAAGAATGTATATTGATCTGCAGAACAGTGCAGAAAAGAACAGGAAACAAGATGAAAAAAAATAAAAAAATAAAAATAAAAAAACACTTCTCTCCATCAATGTTTATAGGCGGTTAATTGATGTTTGACTGGTTGTTGTACTGCATTTATAGTTGCCGGTTTTGGGCGAGTTTTACTGTATTTACTGAAATTTAGTTTTCGTCTTTTCTTTTTCTTTTTTTTGTTATATTGTTTTTTATTTTTGATTTTTTATTTTTTGATTATTTCGTTCTCACTGTTTTCTAGCTGTATTTTTGTTTGATTATTTGTTAGCAACAATAAGAACAAGGACGGCGAAATGATCTTTTTTGTTTCACAATAAATAACCAAAAATAGCTGATAAAGTGTATTGCAGCAGAGAAGATTTATTTATATATTTTTTTGTTGCTAAACACCTACATATTTCTCTGCCCTGCATAAAAGGTGTGACATAAAAGTGGAGTAGGAGCAACGAGAAAAGATGTCGTCGTCATCGCCATCGTCAACGACCACTCCATTACCGTCGAAATACGACTCAAAAAAAGAAACGGACAGCACTGCTGCACCGGTTGTTAGAATGCGAACTAAAACACCTTTATCTCAGACACAAACTCAGGTTACTTTTTTTATTCTATGTTTTTGCTTTTTTTTTTTTTT